CCCCGCAGCCAGCAAGGTTATCTGGGAGCCCTGGTGGGAGGAAGGAAGCTGCTCCCCGTCTCTGTCCCTGTCACTGGCAGCCACTGCTGGGCTGCAGCAGGCCCCACCTGAAGGGCTCCCCGCCTCTCGTCCACCCCCGAGCCAGCGAGTTCCTGTGTGGCCTTGGAGCAGTGCCTGGCCCTCTCTGGGTGTTTCCCTAGGGGTTGAGCGAGGGTTGTCTTCTGCCCCGCTCTCAGGACCCAGGGCTGGCGGGAGCCGCGGGGGAGACGGCAGAGTGGCCGGGCCCCAGCAGTGACTTGGACATCTTGAAGGGGACTCGGGTGTTACGTGATCTGGAGACCTTTCCTCCCTTCCAGGGCGCATCAGAGAGGCCTGCCAGGGGCCAGCGGCCAGCGGCCAGGCTCAGCAGGGCCGTCTCTCCCTCCAGGCTGGCCCCAGCGGGCGTGGCGCCCTGTCTGTCTTGGGCTGGCCCCTGGCCCGCTGCCCCCGCCTCTTGGGGCTTGGGGTGCAGGGTGGGGCTCCTGGGGGGACGCCAACTGTCCAGGGCGTTGGCCTCGGGCCCTGGTCTCGCTCCCTGACCTTGGCAAGGTCACGCCTCTCTGGTGGCGAGCCGTAGGTGGACGGGGCCTGAGCAGCAGCGGGCACGGCTTCTGGCGACAGGCTGGACGCTCACGGGAGCCAGGGCCTTCAGAGGCCAGTGTCCAGCCCCTCCTCCGCTCACTCTGAGCCCTGGGCTCCGGACAGGACGGCCTCGGGGCCTCCTCTCGTCTGTTCATCTCCACGGGCCGAGCCCGGGGCCATCTGGTGCCGCAGGGCCACCCGCCGGCTCCCCTCCTGCTCACTTCATCTTGCATTTCTGTAGTTCAGCCGTGCTGGTGGCCAGGACTGCCTCCTTACAGGGCAGGGACAGCCCGGGAGCGCCAAGCAGTCAGGGCCAGCTGAGGGTAGACCTGGTGACCATGGCCACACGGTAATGTGGGATGATAACAGTGACAACGATGAGCAGGAGGCAGACGGCAGACATTTATAGAGCGCCTACTGAATGCCAGGCCAGTGGGAGGTGCATCGTATGTAGGCCTCACAACAACCTGATGAAGTCAAGGTTGTAATCACCATGTTTAACAGAGAGGTTAAGTAACTTGCCTGAAGTCACACAGCTAGTGAGATGGGGGCTGGGATTGAAGTTCAGGACCTTCAGTTCAGCCTCCCTGCTCTTAGGACCCTGCTCTCTTGCCCCGTGGTCTTGCCGAGCTGGAGGTGGGTTCCTGCCCACCCTCTGGGTCTCCTGTTCCCGTGGAACATGAAGGGTTTCCGTGGCCCAGCAGAGGGGGCTGATGCTAGGACCGAGGACGTGACCAGCCAGCCGGGCTCTGGGCCACTGAGGAAGGTGCCTGGTCGCCCCTGCAGGTGGCCTCCTGGGGGGGGGACGCCAACTGTCCAAGGTGTTGCCCCCAGGCAGATCCAGGGCAGCCGCGCGGCAGGGCCCAGGGCTGACAGGGGCCAGAGGCTCCGCGGTGCCAGGGTGGTTTAGTGGAGACCCGTGAGCTCTGCCCTCGCGCACCACCCAGGAACCGCGGCTCCTCCGTCTCTGCTGCTGAGCGGAGGGTGGAGCAAGGGAAAGGCGTCTGGAGGTTGAACGATCATCTAGACCAACTCTGTTGGCAAAGCTCAGAGAGGCTGAGTGACTTCTTCCGTGCCACACAGGACCTCCTACACAGGGCCATCCCAGAACCTGGCTTCCGGAATTCTATCCCCTAGACATGGGGGACTCTCCAAATACCCAAGACCCCTGCTGCCTTGGACGCCCATTCCTTGGCCGGCTCCTGTCCCAAGCAATCTCCTTCAGTGACCTTGAGCCTCCTCTGTGGGTGCCAAGTCTTGCATCGTCACCAGGAATCCAAGGGTCATTGTCACCAGATAATAATAGTCAGCAGCTCAGGGACCCTTGGAAGAAATGGGCCAGAGACAAGCCGTCAGTGACGCCTGTGGCTCTGGACAGGGTCCCGGGCGACGTAGGGATGTTGGTCCTGGCTGTGGACAGACTGGCGCTCTGGGGGCACAGGCTCCCGGGGGAGGCGCTGCCCCGTCCCCGTGGGGTGCAGGTGGCGTGAGCGCTGCGTGCTTGGCCAGAGGACACTGACGTGCACCTCTGAGCCCACGGGGGTGCCCGGCTCACATGCAGATCGCACGTCGGTGTCTGTGTGACAGGGACCACCCCCAGCCAGCCCCTCGGGCCTCCTGGGCCTGGGTCTCCTCACCTGTCAAGGGATCTGCCTCCCTCCCTCCCGGGGCTTTTTAATGAGATGCTATTTGCTCACCCTCGGAAGACACACCCAGGGCCACCCCGCGAGGGTGAGCACGATGGGAACCCGTGGGGACCTGCGGTGCGTGGGGTGTGGTCCACCTGCACCCCGGGAAGCAGACTTGGCCACCGACTCCCCCCGCGGGGTCACCCGGACCCCAGCCCGAGCCCACGCACAGCCTGTCCTTGGGGGGCGCTCCGCGGCCCTCAGCTTCCCGGAGGCCGGGCTCCCAGGCCAGGACGCTCCCCCCAGAGCAGAAGCCACCACGCCCCACGCTGCAAGGTCGGGCTGCCGGGGCTGGACGGGAGCTGGACCAGGGTCACAGTCACCAGCTGCCCGGCCACGGGATGAATGGGGACACGGTCCCTACGAAGAGGAGCTGGGGGCTGGAGCTGACCACAAGCTCGGGAGCTCACTAGGGAGGAGACCAGACGGCATTCTCGGGGGGAGAAGAGGAGCCCAGAGCTCCGCCCCGGGACCCTGGGACAGAGACCTCGGGGACTGGGTGCTTCCCAAGGACCACTTGGCGGCTCAGGCTGCAACCCAGAGTGTGACCCCAGGGGGTTGCCAGGTGCCACCAGGCCTGAAGCCGCGGAGGAGGGGCCTTGGAGGAGCAGAAGGCCCCAGGTGGGAGGGGGCTGCGGAGGAGGGGGCTGCGGAGACCGGGCCTCCCCCACATCTCGGGTGTGGCCCGGGAGAGCCTGGCTCTGGGTCCCCGTGGTGCGTGGGTGGCCCCCTCCACCCCCACGTCCTGCAGCAGGGAGGGGGGGGGCTCAGGGCCCCTGGGGTGGGTAGGAGAGGGACGGGGAGGTGCAGGGAGCAGAGCCACAGGGGCACGGAGTTGGCTCAGCAGTGGGACCCCCGAGGTCCCCAGCGGGTGGAGGACGGCTCTGAGTCACCCAGAGGCAGCTGTGGCGTCACCCCCCTGGGCCCCTCTCCCCAGCTGTGAAGGCGGATGATCTGGTGGCCCTGAAGGGAAACCCAGGCACAGAGCCCAGCAGGGGCCTGGCCAGAGTGGGCACTCAGCCACCAGGGCTTCCAGCCCCGTCCCTAACTCTCCAATGCCCTGGGCAGGGCGGGCAGAGCTGGAGGCAGTGCCACGTGGCACTGTGCTTTCTACCCCACTTCATCTCCCATTCCCTGGAGGAGGAAGCAGACGCACAGAGAGGTGCAGTGAGTTGCCTGAGGTTGCACAGGTCAGACTAGACTCAAGTCCGGCCCCCTGCAGGCCCCACTGCACATGCCCGCAGCTGACCCCAGCCCTGCGTGTGTCCACAGTCTCTTTAAGGGGCACCCTGAGACCCTGGACAAGTTTGACAAGTTCAAGCACCTGAAGTCGGAGGACGAGATGAAGGCCTCGGAGGACCTCAAGAAGCACGGCACCACGGTGCTCACGGCGCTGGGCGGCATCCTCAAGAAGAAGGGGCAGCACGAGGCCGAGATCAAGCCCCTGGCCCAGTCGCACGCCACCAAGCACAAGATCCCCGTCAAGTACCTGGAGGTAGGGCCGGCGGGCGGGCGGGCGGGCCGCGAGGGCTCTGCGTCCAGCTGGGCCTGGCTCAGGGGCGGCCCAGTCAGACGCAGGCTGGTGGCCAGCTGGGTGCCACGTCGGGGGCAGCGGCCTGCTCAGGTGGAGAGAGCCCCGAGCCCTGGGCAGAGCCGCGGGTGGCCTCCTGAGCTGGGCTGGGCCGAGGGCCGGCGCTGGGCTCTGGTTCTGCCTTCATGGCCAGTGCAGCAGGGGACATGGGGACGGGAGCCTGGGGACACCTGCAGACAGGTGCATGCTCTGATGGCAGCCACCCGTCAGGACAGGCTGTGCTGACACTCGCCTGGGCCACACCGTGGAATTCTCACAAGTGACACCCTCGGAGTGGGACTGCATTCCGCGTCTTCTTTTCCTTTTGGATAAAAAAAATCCAGAGGTAGAGAGTTCAGACCCAGTGTGAGCGGTGCCATCGCCAGGGGTCCGGGCTCAGTCCTCCCCGCTGCCATCTTTAGCCTGTGGTGTCCTTCCTCAAAGGGGCCTCATGGCTCAATATGGCTGCAAGAACTCCACCCACTTTATCCATATTCCAAACAGGAAACAGAAAGAGAGAAGACTCCCTTTTGAGACGTTTAAGGGGTTCCGGGGTCTCATCTGACACTTTTGTAGATATCTCATTGGCCACAAGTTAGTGATGGCGGTCGGCCCGGAGAGCTGGGAAACATAGTGGGGAGAGGGGAGAGAGAGATGGGCAGGCGGAGAGCAGTCTCTGCCCCAGGCAGGGACACTTCTCATTAGGAAATTGGGGGCTCAGGGTAAGCAGCCTCCTGGGGTCCCCAGGCCCATGGGGCAAGTCAGCTGCTTCATCTGCACCCCACCCAGTGTCACTTTGTCCTGTTCCTGCCGTGGTACCTGCCGGGCTGTGTCATCACTAATCTCTCTCCCCAGGGAATTTCCGAATCCAGCGGCTGGGGGAGGGGGCGACTGAGCCCCAGGGGGAGGGGGGAAGGAGGGGGGGGGCGGTGACCAGGGAGAAACAGCCCCAGATCTCGGGCACCCTGTCCTCCGACTTTGTCTGGAATTTGTGAAACTCAAGGTGAACTTTGCCCTGTCTCCCTGGTGCCCAGGCGGGAGCAGCGGCCCTGTGTCTGGCCCAGGGTGTCCTCTGGGTGTGCCCCCCTCCCCGCCCTGCCCTTGGCATTTCACCCTGAGACGGGGAAGAGCCAGCCGCCCTTGGCCCGCCTCCCTCTGGCCCTGATCCCTGCTGGGCTCTGCCATCCACCTGCTGGGTGACCTCAGTCTGGCCGCTTGGCTGTCTCCTGTCAAATGTCACCACTCGGTGCTGGGCCAAGGGCGGGGCTGGGACCAAGCCCTGGTTCCCTGTGGAGAGAGCACAGGCCCCCATCCAGCCCCGGGCACCGCTGTCCGTCTCCTGGGGGTGGGGGGCACTGATCTTAGCCCCCAGGACAGGGTCCCTGGGGCCAGGCGGACGAGGCCCGGGTCCATCCCAGCAGCAGGAAAGATAAAGAAGGAAAACTGGGGCCTCAAAGCAACAGCCACCGCAGGCCACCAAGAGCCAAAGTGGACGGGGCATAGCGGGAAGTCGTGCCCCTGGGTTCCACGGCTGCGACCTGGTGACGTCTGAAGCCGAGGCCCGGCCTTTCCTGCTGGCCACGGAGGTGCCCGGCCCTGGCCTGTGGCGGGGGGAGCAGAACTCCACCCGCCCTTCCTGGCGCCCCCAGGCCTCGGTGTCCCCCGCTGTGACGCGGTGGTGGTGGCACCTGTCTCCTGGTGGCCGTGACACTCCTGGCGGTCACCCAGGATCTGGTCTGTGCACAGCGAGGGCTGGGGAGCGGCCCGGCCACCCGATGACCAGCGCCCCTCGTCCCCCCACAGTTCATCTCGGAAGCCATCATCGAGGTCCTGAAGAGCAAGCACTCCGGGGACTTCAACGAGGCGGCCCAGGGCGCCATGCGCAAGGCGCTGGAGCTGTTCCGGAACGACATCGCGGCCAAGTACAAGGAGCTGGGGTTCCAGGGCTGAGCCCCGAGGCGGCCTGGGCCCC